CCTACATTCTATTGGCCAGAACTTAACCAGAGAAGAAGCCAAGAAATGTATTCTGTTATTACAGGTAGCCAGGTATTCGGTTATAATCCAGGGGTTCTGTTACTGTGGATGAAAGGGATAATAGATAATTAACACTCACAGCCTTAGGATCTTCAAAGAAATAAAGTAAGGATAACATCCATTAAGAAGAAAAAGACAGTGAGTTTTTATTTGTTTGTTTGAATTTAAAGCCTCTGCTCTTAGAAAGACACCACCAAAAGAGTGAATAAACAAGCCATAGACTAGGAGAAAATATTTGTAAGACATATGCCTGATAAAGGACTTGTATCCAAAATATATTTTTTAAAAACTCCCAAAACTCAACAATAAGAAAAAGCCCCACTATTTAAAAAATGGGCCAAAGATTTGAACAGACCCTTCACCAGAGAAGACAATGCAGCTGACAAATGAGTGCACAAAAAGATATTCAGTATCATTAGTCATCAGAGAAATGCACATTAAAACCACAATGAGATACTGCTTCATACCTATCAAAATGGCTAAAATGAAAAAGCCTGTTCATACCAAGTATTGGCAAGGATGTGAGTCAACTGGAAATCCCGCACACAGCTGGTGGGCGTGTAAAATGGTGCAACCACTTTGGAAAACAGTTTAGCAGTTTCTTAAAAGTTAGACCTATTCTTACCATGTGTCCCAGCAATTCCACTACTAATTATTTGCCCAAGAGCAATTAAAGCATATGTGTCTATACAAAGATTTATTAGTGATGTCTCTTAGCAGCTTTATTTGTAATGGCCCAAAACTAGACACAACCCAAATGTCCATCAATAAGGAGATTAAAAAAAAAAAATAGTGGCACATCCAAACGGTGGAATACTACTCACCAATACAGAGAAATAAACTCTGATACACACATCAGTAGGAACAAATCTCAAAATAATTGTGCTGAGTGAAGGAAGGCAGACATGCCTTCCATTTGATTCTACTTGTGTAAAGTCTTGAAAACTGCAAAGTAATTTATGGTGACAGAAAGTAGCTTACTATTTGCCTGTGGACTGGGAAAGGGAGATGTGGAGAGAAGCAGGAGGGAGGGATTACAGGGGCCCTGAAGAAGTTCTTAGGGGTGATGGATATGTTTGTTATCTTGATTGTGATATATACATTTGTCAAAATTTATCAAATGGTATATTATATGTTAATTATACTTCAATAAAGCTGTTAGAAGAAGAAGGAACACAACATTATGAAACAAAAAAGAGGCAGAATAAGAAAAAATGGGTATGAAAAAGAACCGATTGAAAATCCTGGGAATGAAAAATATTCACTGCATTAAAAGTAGTCATTTAAAATGGAAGGAAAAAATAAAATAAAAAGGAAGGCCAGAAAGAAAGGAAAAACCTCAGCAGACAGATAAACTCTGGACCAGACAAAGTCAAAGAGAGAATGAGTGAATTGGAAGAGAGTTCTGAGAAATTTTCTGAGAGCATCACCCAGAAAGATAAAGAGGGAAAATTATGAAAGGGTAGTTGTAAGACATGGAGAATAGATTGGGCTCCTACCATATCTGTTTAATAGAAATTCTGCTGGAAGAGACTGGAGAAAATGACTGAGAAGCTGTACTCAAAAGCACAATAGCTCAGAATTTCCCAGAATTGAAATAAGTCCTTATCAAGTAATGTGCTTGACCAGTAATGAGGAGAATTTTAAAAAGTAAATCTCCATTTCAAAACCACATAGTGAAACTGCAGAAAATCAAGAATACAGGGGAAGTCTTAAAATTTACTATGGACAGATTATGCGTGAAAGAACAACACTAGACTGACAGTAGGTTGCTTAAGCGCCTATGGCAGCCTTTTTGGCAGTCTTTATTTGTTGGAAGAAAATAAAGTTCATCTGTCTAGAATTCCATATCCAGCTGAACTCTGATTCGAAAGTGATGATGAAATAAAGACAATTTTATAGAAGATGAAGGGGCCCATTGCAAACCCTGAGGCTCTTGAACATTTGGAGACTGGGGAGAGGAGAAGCCCTCCGAAATCACATATGCCCAGTCACTCAGTGCCAGCCTCTGTCTCCCACAGAAACCATAGAGAGAGGGGAAGGACTGAATTTAGCTGGTGGTGCAACGTGATGCTATTGGAAATGCCGCTTGTTGGTCATGTTGCTGGGTATTCCATCAAGATAGAGGAGGGAGATGGGATTCCTGCCCCAGCTCAGGGGTCAGTCCTGCAGCAGTGGGAGAGCTCGGGAAGGTTCTGTGTGGTGTCCTTGGGCCCTGGTCTGGAGAGGAGTCCAGAGACACGAGAGCCCCCTCGAGGATGCCCATTCTAGACTCTCTCTCTGTCTTCCAGATTGTGGACAAGAACAACCGCTACAAGTCCATTGATGGGTCAGATGAGACTAAAGCCAACTGGATGAGGTGAGTCCTGCTGTCTGCTGATTTCCCGGGAGCCTTGCCCGAACTCTGCCAAGGGAGCATGTTGGGCCTTTAGGGTCTCCAGTGCTAGAGGTCCCTGAAGGCCCCGGGACTGCTCTTTGCAGGGACGTGTCTAGCTCTGGGGGACCAACCCTCCAGCTCCCACAGGCTTCCCTCAGGGGGCTCTGGAGGAGGCCTGTGGCCAGACCAGTCATTTACTGGGACACCCTTGTCAGTGTTTCTGGAAGCCCTAGGCCCCAGGCTCCTGACAGCATTCCCAAGTCGGGGGTGGGGTGGGGTGGGCGTGTCCTTGCCACAGGACTGTGACACCTCTCACAGGCAGAGTCCGGCTGGAGGGGTGCAGGAATCATCCCAGTGCAGCCCTCAGCCATTGTTTAAAAGCCCCCCAGAGAAAAGGGCACAGTCTCTAGCTCAGTTTTCGATTGCTAGACTGGTTTTTTCCATTGCTTGGGACAGAGGTTTGCGCCAGAAGGATCCTTCACGGCCAGCCAGAGAGAGCAGGGGACGGGTCCAGGGTCACCCAGAGGCGGCCGAGCTGAGCTCGGGACCGAGGGCACTCCTCTGGGTTCTGTGCTGCTGGCCTGTGTGGTGTGCTGGGGGGCCCTGCCTGGTGGGGTCAGCCAGCAGTGTGGGAGGCCGGGCTTGCCTCATCGTCTCCTTGGTGGCCTCTCTCTGGGATTCAGGAGCTGTGACGGGGGTTAGGAGCTGGGTTGGGAGGGAAGGGAGGCCTCAGAGGGCTGGACCCAGGGGCAGAACCGTGCTGTGGATCAGGCCCACTGTCGGTGTTTGTGCAGTTCTGTGCCCCGTGGGGCTGGGGGCTGGGGGCTGGGAGGTTGAGGAGAGATTGTGCTTGGAGGGAGGGCAGTTAGGCCCTCGCTAAGAGGGAGATTGCTGGATTTAAACCCTGAGACGTGCCAAGCAAATGAGGAGAAATGGGTTTGAGGTGGGGAGGCCGTGGTAAGCTCTCCAGCCCCCTTCCCCGGTGTCCCACTGCCCACATGGGCTCCCACCTGAGGCCCGCTGAGGTGTGGCCTGCAGTTTGCACTGTCCGGGGCACTTAAGGATTCACCCTCTTATTTGTCGGGGCCACTGTCCTCATCGTCATTTAACAGGTGCAGAAGCAGAGGCACCGAGGGACAGGCGGGCCCCAGCCTTGTGCTGTGGGGACAGGCACCCACTCCCCAGCCCCCTTTCACAGCATCAGGTCAGCCATGCCCTGAAAGTGGCTCCAAGAAGGTGGATGGGCACCTCTGCTCTCTTCTTCTCCGCGACCGCCGGGTGCAGGTCAGCTTAGCACATGCAACTCACCACCCATTCCTGAGCACCTGTGGCGAGTCAGAGCCTGTACTGGGCGCCCTAGATGGGTGGGCCCAGCCCTGCCCCCCTGGCCCTCCCAGGACTCACACCTTCCGCCGTGGAAATTGCTTTTTCTAATAAGACTGTTTGATGGAGGCATGGACAATGCGCTGGGAGGGCTCAGATGAAAGCAAGGGTGGGGAGGGCCTTTGAGCTGGGCCTTCAAAGGGGCTGGGCTTTCATTTGAGGACATTGTGAGCAAAGACTCAGAAGTGGGAAGTGGGGGCCAGGTGTCGGGCAGGTCGTCAGATGGGCTGCATGGCCCAGACCCCTGGCCTGTAGCTCTGGTGTGGCTCTAGGCAAGCAAAGGAGAGTGTGTTTGAGTGAAGTCTGGGTCAGACCTTTCTGCACTGAAGCTTTGGCCGGGACAAGGCTTTACGGTAACCGCAAAGAAGGGGTTTCATCATCTGTACGAACTGAGTGGACATCTAGCACCCAGCGATTCTGACTTAATCAGGCTGGGGCTGAGCCCAGGACATTGGTCATTTTTAAAGCTCTCCAGAGTGATTACGATGCGCCGCTGGTGTTGAGAACCACTGCTCTGTTCTGATCTCCATGCTACAGTGCTAAACTGAGGCCCAGAGCAGGGCAGGGTCTTACTCAAGATCATGCAGTCAGCGGCAGAACATCTCTGAACGTCTAGGCCGGTGTTCTTTCTGCTTGTACCCAAGGGACCAGGCACAGCATGGCTTCCTGGGCCTTGTGTGGGGTGGGTTCAGCTACTGCTATCTTGCTGGCCTGGGATCTATCCTGTTCCCGCTCCAAGACCCGTTCTGATCCAGGGTGGCGCCAGGGTTGTCGCAGATGGTGGGCCCTCGCCTCATTAGAGATTCAAGGAGTAGGTTGGGTTTGGGTGTATGGTTTGTTGCCAGGGAGATGGCCTTCTGGTGGTAGTTGGAGTGAGGGGGAAGCCAGTTCATCCTGGGAACGCTCCTTTCCCCTTCAGGTAAGGCTTCCATTTGTACAGCTCCTCCTGATTTTCAGGCACTTTCACTAGCACTGTCACAGCGTAGGCTCTCGCAGATGATCGAATGGAGTTGCTTAACCTCCTCAAACCCGCAGTGGTAGGCCAGGCAGAGAACGGGCGCCCGCGTGATGAGCGTGCGTGCTCTGCCTTCATGAAATCAGTGGCCAAAAACCACAGGCTCTCTTGTCCCCGGGAGGCATTGGCAGCGCCTTGAGACATTTTTGGTTGTCACACCTCTGCAGGTAGATGCTTCTGGTTTCTGTCGAGCAGAAGCCAAGGATGCTGATGAAGATCCTGCATTGTCCAGGATGCCCCCTCCCCCACCAACAAAGAATTTCCTGATCCCACATGGTGAGATTAGGAAGCCCTTCCTGGCAGGTCTTGGAGGTGGTACTGGGGGAAATGGGGTTTGCACAGGAGACTCAGCCTCTCATCCAAAGTCTGCCTGAGTGCAAGGCCCAGGCCCCAGCCCCGGGCCCTCCGCTGTCTTGGCCAGGTGACAAAGTCTCGGACTCCTTCTCCTGCCTCCTGGGCTGTGATATTCTGGGGGGGAGGTGAAGGCTGAAGGATCTCTGTGCCCTTGTGTCTTGCTGTGGCTTTGGCACCTGCCAGAGGGGTGAACCAGGCTCCCTCCATAGCCTAGGTTCTTCTCTTGGATGGACCTTTGGGACCTTGGGCATGAGTTAAAGAGTGGACAGAACCACACTGTGGAAATACGGAGCTGCAGAGCCAGAGTAGGTGCCAGGCCAGAGGGGTCAGGGCTGTGCTGTGCCCATTCCCCGGGGCCCCTGGCTGCTCTGTGCAGATGGAAGCTGAGGTCATTCCTGGTCTCCATCAAAGTGGAACCTGTCTCCCGATGGGTGCTCATGGGGTCCTCACATTCTACCCCTGAGCTGCCCAAAAGCACAGCAGCCCGCCCCCAAAGGAGCTGCTGCCAGCCAGCACTCCAGTGGGAGGGGAGCCTGTACATACCCAGAGGTGGGGGCTGGGGAGCCTGGGAAGGGGAAGAGCCGCAGGACAGAACAGGCTTTCTGTGGCCACGCCCTAATCATGGACATCACCAGCGAGGCCACACCCCATGGAAGCCCACTGTAAATAGTCTCACTGCGTAAAGGTCTTCCTCCAAGCCACCGGGGTCTATGGCCCTAGGTAAAGATCGCTTTGTAGAGGCAATGGCCTCACCCTAACCCCAATAAGGATCCTTTATTCCCGTTCAGGGCTTTAAAGCTCTTTCACATCGCTGTGCTTTTGCCTCCTTAGTAACAAGCCCCTAGGTTGGTGCAGTTGTTACTCGGGTTCCGGATGGAGTGAGTGGGACCGGGAGAGGCTGCTGAGCGGCCATGGCTCTCACAGCTAGTCAGAGGCGAGGCAGGGCCTGAAACTGAAGGCGTCCGGCTCCGTCCAGCACTCCCATCGAGTACGCCGCGTCTCCTCCTGCCCTCCAAGGAGCAGTGGAAGGGGTCTGTCGCTAGGAAGAGGGTGTGGTGGTGGTGAGCGGGCGAGGGCGCCCAGGTGCCTCCTGGCTCCCCGGCTGGGGGCCGGCAATTAGGAAGGAGGAGGCCTGCCGCGTTGACGGTCATTTACCCAATTGTGCTTTGTGGGATATTCAACCCAAGGAACGTGGTGCCCCTGGCTGAGCGTAAGAGGAAGCCCAAGTTCTCCAAGGAGGAGCTGGACATTCTGGTCACGGAGGTGACCCACCACGAAGCAGTTCTCTTTGGGAGGGAGACCATGCGGCTGTCCCATGCCGACAGGGACAAGATTTGGGAAGGCATAGCTCGGAAAATCACCTCCGTCAGCCAGGTCCCCCGCTCCGTCAAGGACATTAAGCACAGATGGGATGACATGAAACGGAGGACCAAGGACAAGCTGGCCTTCATGCAGAAGTCCCTGTCGGGCCCAGGGGCCGGGGGCCGGGCCCCCGCCATCGTGCTCACTGCCCACGAGAGGGCCATCGAGTCAGCGCTGCTCACAGCCCGGTCCGGGCGCGGCTTCCCCAGGGTGGAACTGGATGGTACCGACAGCCCTTCGACCAGCTGTGAGTACCGCCCGCCTCCCCTCCCCGGGCTGCCCCTGCCTGTTCCCCACCCACTCCTGGCGGAGTCCCCTGCACCCGCCTTCTTTCTCCTGTCCCTCTGCCTCGCCCAGGCTTTCCGTCCTTCCCTCCCTCCCCCACTTCTGTCCTCTCTACCTCTTTCCCTTCACTCATTCGAGAATATTTCCTGAACACCGTGCCGGGAGTTGCGCTGGGAGCTGGGAAGACAGAGATGGGCATAAAACCTACCCTAGGGCTTCCCTGGTGGCGCAGTGGTTGAGAGTCCGCCTGCCGATGCAGGGGACACGGGTTTGTGCCCCGGTCCGGGAAGATCCCACATGCCGCGGAGCGGCTGGGCCCGTGAGCCATGGCCGCTGGGCCTGCGTGTCTGGAGCCTGTGCTCTGCAACGGGAGAGGCCACAGCAGTGAGAGGCCCGCGTACCGCAAAAAAAATCCAACAAACCTACCCTGCCCCTGCTCTTGGGACGTTCCTTAAACTCGTGAGAATAAACACACTTTAATTAAATAATTGCGCAAGGAAATTTGAAAGAAGGCATGAAGGACAGATACAGGAGGTACTGAGAGCAGGGCTGACTACTTGGGTGTGCGGCCCGTCGCTCTAAAGGCCGGAGCTGGGCTGACTGCTCCTCGGTTGCCTTCCTGAAACTCAGACTAGTTTTTGAACGAGGCGCCCGCATTTTCGTGTTGCATTCGACCCTGCAGATTATGTAGCGGCCCGTCTGAGCGCAGGAGCGGTGGACTGGCCATCCACCGAGGCTGGGGAAGGCTCCCGGGAATGACAGTTGAACTGAGACCAAGGGTGAGGAAGAGTTAAGCCTGCCGGTACGCGTGGGCCGTGGGGCGCAGCGCAGGGGAGGGGAGGGCCTCGCAGGCAGAACAGCATGTACGAGGCCCCGAGGCCCTGCATCAGGAAGGCGCTTGGCACGTTCCAGGAACAGAGAGGAGCCAGGGAAGCCCCGTGTAGCAGGCGAGGGGGAGGGGCGCGAGAGGAAGCCAGCCAAGTCCCAGGCCCCGAAAGCTCAGTCCTTTCTGTCTGTGTATTCCGAGTGTCTTTATTTCTGTGTTATTTCCACACTCCCCTCCGCGGTGCCACTCTGCCTTCTCTTCTCTCTGCACTCTGCCTCTTTCTGCCCACCGCCCCCCCCCCACAAACCCCCGCCCCAGGGCTCTCACTAGGACCCCTCTCTCTGTGCTCTGGGTCCCCTCCGCATGGCCCCCTCCACCCCTCTGCTCCCCAGCACTCGTCTCCCTCTTTCCCCTCTGCTTCCTGTGTCTCAGGATGAACTTGGATGCCAGGGCTTGGGGGTGTGGAATCTCCTGGCCTACACGGGGCGTCCTTTGGGGCTGTAGTGCTTATCGGGGCTCACCAGAAGGGGGAGCACTCGAGGCCCTTCCCTGCTGGGGCTGCACCCCCTTCAGCTGTGCTTCTGCACAGACCTGCCCCCCACTCGCAGCCCGCGGTCCCAGCTGGAGGCTGTCTGCCTTGTGAGAGACCAGTCGGGCAGCAGGGCTCCAGGAACACCAGCCCTCGGGAAGATGGTTCACAAAGACCCAGCCTCCCCTCCCCAGGCCCCTTGCCGCAGGGAGCTTGCTAATTTCCTGTCTGGCTGGGGCTCCTGACAGGTGGCCGTTCGGAGTCAGATATTGAGAACTAGGAAAGAAGGAGGAGATCATCCGGTCCGACTTCCATGTTGTCCAGATGAGGTAGTTAAGCTCCAGACACAGAGGTGGTCTCAGAGCCTGATTCAGAATGAGGACTTGAACCTAGGTCTGCCAGCTCCCGCTGGATCAGTGTATCCGGGAGTTTCAGGATGATGCTACCTAATTATGAGAAAAGGGAGAAGGCTAGCGTCTAGTGAAGTCTGTTCCTTAAATTCTGTCTTGCTCATCCTTCCGTCTCCCCGAGACCACAGGTAATGAGGTTACCAAATGTGACCTGAACTGGGTAGGGGGCCCAGGACCCCTCCACCGCAGGTTGGTCCAGGCCTCCTTTTCCCAGCTGCCACGGCACTTGGCTAGGGGCTGGGTAGAATGAGGCCCTGAAAGGGAGGGAGCAGCATCACGGCAGCCCGTCCCACTTCTTTCAACCCTGCCCTTCCAGAATGGGTGTGTGCCAAGTGGGGGTCATGAGGCACTAGGCTCTCTTGCTGTGCTGGCCCAGGTGAGATGCCGGGACCCCTCGGAGGCGTGTGGCTCAGGGCAACGGGAATCTGTCTTCCTGTCACCTCCCCTGGGGTGGTTCTGAATTCAGCCCCCCAGGTACAGGCAGGGAGGTGTGCCTGTCAGGAGGGTCAGCCTGTATATTTTTCGCTCTTGCTGTGGGAACCAGCTCACGAGAGAGCCGCCGAGACCCGCGTGTGCAGGGCTGGGCCCCTCCCTGTAGCAGTCTGTCTGATGGTCCCTGTGTGCCGTCAGGTGCTCCAGGTAGAAGGGGCGTGTCTGCTCGGGTAGCCTGCCTTGGGGCGCTGAGAGGACGGCAGGGCTGGTCGCCCAGGTAGATCTGCTCTGCATCATCTGGGCTTGTCTGTCCCAGAGCCATCCCTTCCCTCCCTTCTCCAGCCTGTCAGCTTCCCCCTCTATGACCTAAAGCTGCAGATTCCAGCAGGCCCACAAGGTGGCCCCAAGCAGCTCAGAAATGGCCGCATGGAGGCGGGAACTCAGGGCGGCCAAGAGCATCATAGTACCTTTTGACAGGTGTCACTCTTCTAGCTTCGCAGAGTGCCTTTCTGTCTGTCCTCCTGCGTAGTCTTAACAACCCTGCTAGGTGGGCAAGTGGTCGGGGAGGTAGGCAGAGCAGTTGTTACCTTTGCTTTGCAGAAACTGAGCCGCAGAGAGAGGAAGTGAGCCCTTGGGTCGACGTGCCATCCCTGGGGCTGGGGTCCCACTAGAAAGTTGCTGTTCCTGTACAAGGAAGGGGACCTGGGGACCTGGGCACTGTTCATGCTCACCTGTGTCCCCAGGCGTGCCTGGCCCAAGCACCTCAGGGATCTAGGGAGCAGGTGCTTCTCTACGGGTGTTGGGGGGGGGGCCAGGTGCCGAACGAGGCTGAGGGGTAGCAGGGTGGGGGGAGGCTAGGTAACTTTGGGGGGTGCGTCCGAGCCCAGGGCTGCCTTCTTTCTCGCAGTTGTAATCAATTGCCCTTCTTTGTTTTTTTGTCCCCCAAGATGATGAAGATGAGGAGACGCCCGGGCCCTCGAGGCAGCCCCTCCGGGGGCCCCTGCAGCCGTCGCCAGAGGAAGAGGCCTGCCTGGCCAGGCCCACCCTGCTCCTCTCTTCTTCCTCCTCTGACCAGTCCGAGACAGTGGGCCGCAAGCCCGAGGCCCTGCCCCGGCCCTCGCCTCAGGCCCAGGCCACCTGCAGGGCCCCTCGGCCGCACCCCGGCCCACCCAGCACAGGCCTAGACTGGCAGCTGTTCCACACCCACACCCAGCAGACTGAGGTGTTTCGGCAGTTCTGCCAGGAGCTGGTGACCGTGCACCGGGACATGGCAAGCGGCATGCAGGCCATCGGCCAGGCCATGGCCGAGCTGACCAGCCGTGTCAGCCAGATGTGCCAGACGCTGACAGAGATCCGGGATGGGGTCCAGGCATCTCAGCGGGGGCCTGACGGGGCAGCGCCCGCAGGCTCCACCCCCCGGGCCGAGGCTCCCCCAGCGGAGCCCCCAGAGGCGCCCCCAGCGCCGGCCCACGCACGGACTACCAGGTCTCGGAAGAGAAAGCACAGTTTCTGAGCCGGCCAGTCTGCGCTGGGAGGAAGAGAGATGGAGGAGGGGTGTCTGGCCCTGAGACAGGGGCCAGCCTCTTGTGTCCAAGATCGAAGACGCTTGTAGGGTGTTGGGGGGACTGTCATCTCCTCACTGCGTACAGGTTGGCTGCCCTGGGCTCAGCCCTACTCCCTCATCTTTGGCAGGTGCTCAAGATGCAGGAGAAGCTGCCTGCCTGATGCTTGCTTGGCCTGAGGGTCGGCCTCCTCCTGGTCTGCACCCCACAGCAGCAGGCCTTGCAGGGAAAGGGGGAGCGAGAGTGGGGGGCATCCGAATGGAATCCCGTTCTCCGTCCTCAGGGCTGCCGCATCAGCCTCCCTGGCCCTGAGGCTGCTGCTTTCGAGGAGGGTGAGGCCTGAGAATGGGCAAGCAGAGCTCAGCCCTTCCAGGAGGGGTCTGTCCTCCCCTCCCCCAGGGCTCTGAGCCCCGGTGGGTGGCGCCCCAGCCTTGGCCTTCCGCTTGCCCTCGCTCGTGTGCTCAGCTGCCATGCTTGCCTTTTGTGGAGCTGGGAGAAGAGGGGGGTGACGTCGGAGGAAGGGGAAGACTACCTGGCATTCTTAGAGCACTTTATGTTTCTCCCTGCGCTCGCAGACGTGTGATCTCAGTGGGTCCTCAGGACAGTGCGCGAGGCAGCCACGTCGGGTACTGTGATCAGCTTTATTACCATCGTCATCTGCATTTCATACACATGAAACAGTAGTCGGTCGCGGGGCCAGGACTGGAAGCCAGGTCTGTGGATTTTTCCAGCTCCCCTGTCAGAGACCAGATGTGGGACTTGGGAGGGGGGTTGCTCCTGCCCCTGCCCAGCTCTTCGGGGTTTCAGTGGGAGGCCACAGCAGCGTTCAGGGCGCGAGTCCACCCCACCCCGCCCCGGCACGAAGGCTGGCAGCCAGTGGCTGGGGAGAAGTCGGGCCTAGGTCTCGGGATCCAGAAGGCGACCCCTCCTCTGGCCCCTCCCAAGCCCAGCAGGGCTCCTGTCCCGTTCCAGGTCCCAGCATGCCTTGCCTCTGCTTGCTTGGGCTGCGTATGCATTAGCTACACACATCTCGAAGCTTCGTGTTTGGGTTTGGAGTGTGGGGAGAGAGCCCGGTTCTTAGAGTTAGGTCGGGAGGCGGGGAGTGGCGGATGCAAGCTCAGCTCTGACGTGGGTGCAGCTCAGCTGTGTGTCCTCTTTGCTCCCTGGCCTGAGGCTGACTCATATCCCAACCCTCCATCCTGCCACACCTGCCCCCTAGAGCCAGAGTTGGGTGGGGGCTGGGAGGACTGCTATGCCCAGGGCCTGCTGCCGCCATTCCTGGAGTCCTGCTTCTCACCCCAGCCCAAGCTTAGCCCCGTGGCGGGAGAATGGAGGGCAACTGCAACGTCCCTGTGTCCTGGGCTCCTTCTCCCAGCCTGTGGTTCTCTGGGGGTTCCTGCTCCCCCTGTCCGACAGCCCGATGGCTTGACTATTGCCTGGCATTGCCTTGCCCTCCGATGCTGGAATCAAAGATTGCCTTCCCAAGTATTTTTGTTAAGATGGCAATAAAAAGAAATTGATCTCACACTTGGAACACACCCGGTCTCCAGGATCTTTCTTTGGTGTATATTCTCTTTCTTCGCTTCCTGTGGAAACCTCGAGGCCCCCAACGCAGGGGTTAGATGACCGAGGAGAAGTGTGTTGCTGAGGGAGACTCAAGCGCCCCTGGTGCTTCCCAGATCTCATCAGCTCTCAGCTGCCCTGTGTTCAGCACCCTTAGAGGAAAGGAAAGGAAAGGAACTGATGGGCCGAGGTGGACAAAGCATCCACGTATGAAACCGTTTCACTATATTTAATTTCTCTGCAAATCGAAAGTGAGATGTTGCTCAATGAATTCTACCTTTTTTTCCCTAAAGGTATGTCAGGGGTCCTGGGGAAAAACCCCACCATTTCTGGCAGGAGACTGCAGAAGGGTCAGGGGCTGTCCACTTGCCAGGGTACTTCAGGGACCACCCTGAGGCACTCACTTTTTTTTTTGGTCACCTCCCCACTGATCTGGGTATCTGACTGTCACAGGTAAGGCCCTGCCCACCTAGAGTTGAGGCTTCTCAAAGTAATTGAAATGGCTTCCTCTGGCTCCCCTTGAGAGTCTCCTCAGCAGGAAAGGGACCCCCTGATCCGTGCATTGCCCTGGCTTGCTTCCAGTCACAGGGAGAGGTTCTCCCAGGCAGGAAATACCCATGTCCTGACCAGGGATCCATCCGCTTTCTGGAAGATTCCAGCCTGCTTTAACCAGACCTCGGAATCCAGGTCATCCTCTGCCATTCTTGACCAAAAAGCATGGTCAAGGAAATCAAGATTTTCCGATCTCCAGGAGATACAGAGGTTCTGTGAAGCCGGGCCTAGGGTCTTTCCCACCAAGGTCAGGGTACTAAGCAGTGACTGGCTGGCCTCTCCCTCTGGTCCTGCGGAGGGAAAGGGGCCAAGTTGAAAGCAAAGGGGACAGAGAGATGAAGAGACTTGTCAACTTCAGATGGAAAAGATTTCAGTTTCTTTTTCTTGGCTTCAGTGGGGCTAGCACGTCAAACAGGAAGGTGAAACTGGAGCCGGTGGATGGAAATGCATGGGCAGCCAATTTCAGCTTAAGATGGGGACATCCGCCACTAAGAGTCTGAGGCCTCCAGCCATGCCAAGGACTGGCTGCGTGGTGTCCTGTTAGAGTCCGGGTGACCATCTAGTGGGTGGATGCATGACCCAAAGACCTTCCCAGCCCAGAGACCTCAATGCATGTGAAAATACAGAGCCCAGCCTCTTCTTGGTCAGTCTTTCCTCATCTCTGCCTCAGTGACTGGGGCAGTTTCCTTTCCATCGGAGGCATAGCCACTGAGTGAGGGTGTCTGAGCCTGGCCTTTGTCTATCCCTTCCAACAAAATGGAGGCCCCTTGGGTTATTTTCCTCTCTTGAGTTGGAACTGATAGCCGTTTCCTGGCCCAGCTAGAAAATATGGTGCACTGGATAAGACACAGTGGATGAGGTCTGAAAAGTGGTGTCTTCGTGCTTATCTAGCCAATACCCAAAGTCAGCAAAGAGTTTGGAATAAAAACAATCCATTATCGTGAAAGTTTCAGTCCAGAACCACCCCTCCACCGCCACTCCCCGTGCACCCCCTCGATTGCTTCAAAGGGTCTGATTTGAAAAGCTATCAAATAAGCACCAGTGTTTACAGACCAGCCTGTGCTATGCATCTTCCATCCCCCTTCTGACATACTCTGTGCCTTCCCTCCAATGAAGTAGTGACCTGGAAACTACTTCAAATAGAAAGATTTTTCACTCCCTGGAAGCCTTCTGTTCCAGGAAGGGCTCTTGTTCACCCGCAGCCGTGTAATGGGACAGGCATGCCTCCTCATACAGGGACTGTTGTGTGGGAACAGGATTCTTGGAGTGGATCAAGCCATTGGGTGTTACTGCAAAATACTTACAATGGGGAGACCTGACTAGAAGTAATTGGGGTTGGGACTTAGCTGGCTCCATTTAGCTTTACCTCAAAAATGATGTAGCGTAAACATCTTCTCAGGGAGAGTGGATTGTTACGATTCACTGAGAGTTGCCATATATATCTTATTGCAAATGCCAACTTTCAGAACAACCCAGTACAACTGGATGCTGAACCAATTTTGATCTTTGAAGATACTTCGTGATCCATACAAAGATTTGGAGCTCTCTTCCTAAATATTTTTAAAAATTTTATTGAAGTCTAGTTGATTTATAGTGTTGTGTTCATTTCTGCTGTACAGCAAAAGTGATTCAGTTATACATATATACATTCTTTTTCATATTCTTTTCCATTACCGTTTATCACAGGATATTGAATATAGTTCCCTGTGCTATACAGGAGGACCTCTATTCCTAAATATCGATTCTTGTTGGGTAGGAAAACACCAGAAGTTGGAAGGGGAGATTGACTTGAGTCTTTCTAAACCTTCTGACGTCCTCACCAAGTTGCTTTTTGGAATAAATCCCTGATAGTTACGTGTTTCTCATCTACCTTTTTTCTCTTTAAGTTGAGTGCCAGAGAAAACAATTCTAGCTTTTAGAGCCTGACAGCTGTTTAGAGACTGAAAAAAGAAAAGACTGTATTCTTCTTTCCTTGTGCTCTATGATTTAAGTGATTCTTGTTAGAAAAAACATGAGTGATGGTTTGCCTTCTGTGTCTGGGAATAGGAAGGTTTGGATCTAACTCAGTTCCATGCTGTGCTCACCACTAGGTCAATTCCCAGACTCTTGCTGAACTGGGGACTAGAAAATAGTGTGCACATTCAGAAGAAATCTCACGTATGAAGAAAAGGCAGACTTCCGCAGTTGGAGAGTTGAGATTGTATGTGAGGGGCACTATGCCTGGGGTACCACAAATGTAGATTCCCAATGCTGCTGGCCACCGTGACCGTCACCACTGCCACCCGGTACTGGAATTGGCGTTGGTGTATGTCTTTTCCTTTTTTAGGGGGTGGGGGAGAGGGAGTAACAGTAATAATTGCTTATTGAGGAAGACTTGGAAAGTACAGAAAATTACAAAGAAGTAGAACCATGTATAATGGATAATCACTGTTAAAACAGTGGTGTATTTCCTTCAAGCAGTTTACCCAGGCTTGTTTGTAAAGCATGGTTAGAACCGTAATATAAATAGCTTTGAGTCCTGTTGTTCCCACTCTGCCTTATATCAGGACCATTTTTCCATGTCATGAAAGATTCTTTGAAAACATTTTTCTGTAGATGAGTAACATTCCTTTGTACAAATATACCATGGTTTATTCAGTTGTTTCTCTAGTATCAGAAGTTTAGATGTTCTAGCTTTTGCTCCATTACAAACAGCGGAACAGTCAGCGTGGCGGTATGCATTTTGCATTCTTGTTCCACACCTTAACGTTCTGGTGTTCTTTTTTAAATTCTACAAATATTGTGGAAAGACCCAAATGAAATAAAATTTACCATTTTAACCATTTTTAAGTGTAAAGTTCAGTGGTATTAAGTATATTCACACTGTTGGGCAACCATCACCATTATCCCTCCCCATAACTCTTCCCATCTTCCCCAACTGAAGCTCTGTACCCATTCAACGCTAGCTCCCTATTCCCCCCTCCCCCATCCCCTGGCAACCACCATCCTACTTTCTGTCTCTGTGAATTTGACTACTCATATAAGTGGGATCCTGTAGTATTTGTTGTTTCATGACTGGCTTATTTCACTTGGTATGTGTCGTCAAGGATCATTCATGTTGTAGCGTGGGTCAGAGTTTCCTTCCTATTTATGGCTGACTAATATCCCATTGGGTGTATATTACCACATCTTATTTATCCATTCATCCATCAGTTGACACTTGGGTTGCTTCCACCTTTGACTATTGTGAATAATGCTGCTGTGAACGTGAATGAACAAATACTTGTTCGAGTCCCTGTTGCCAAGTCGTTTCCCAAAGTGTCGTGCCAGCTTATGCTCCACCATTAGTATGGGAGACCCTAGTCTTGCCACCTTTACCAATACAGAGCTTACAATGTAAAGAAGTTCTCTGTGCCAACAAGACAATGTGCTGCTTTGTGCCTCTTTTCTTATTAGTGATGCTGAATCCTTTCATTTGTTCATTATCCATTTGGATTTATTTCTGTGAATTATTGTTTCCCTTGGACTGCTCCAAGTACAGTTCTTTGGGCTGTGCCAGTCGCACAGACTTTGATTTCTTCCCTGGCTTTTGAGACAAATCATAGCATAAGGAAAAGAAGTTTGTTTTTGACTACAAATTTCCTAGGCACTTGGATACCACAGAACCCTAAAACTCCAAATAATTTCCTCTTGCCTGTTTGATCTGTACATCTCCACCTCTCTACAGGTATTGCATCATCTCACCTTTTGGAGGCGAGTGAGGTGGCAGGTTGGATATTGGAAATGTCATTTCAGGGAGAATGGGTGAGGTCCATAGATTCTGAGGGTCTGACAGAACTTTAAAGGTTATCTGGGCATTGCTGAGTTGGTGCTTTACATGCCCACATAGGAGCCGTGAGTACTAGTGAGAAAAGCATGGACCTCAATGCTCAATCTCCCATTTATTAGCTGTGTGACCTTAGGCAAGTCACTTAGCCTCTCTGAGCCTCAGTTTCCTTACCTTCAAATGACTTGGATTGACCTGTGGTTGCTCACATTTCCTTGCCTTTCCCTACCTCCCCTGTCCCCACTGGACCCTCTATTTGTAAAGATTTTGGTCTTCAGCATTTATTAATTGATCTCGTGGGCACCCTTTTCACATAGGCTTTGTGACATTCTGAGAACAGTTCAAGGATCTCGCCCTTACCACCATCAGAGGCCTGCGGGTATCTGGGAATGCCTGCGGTTAAAAGTTAGGGAAGAATGGTTTTCCAATCACCTGTATATCTGGTATTGAACCTTGTATTTACCAGAACCTAGGAGGTAGGAAGGGCAGGTGTCATTTCCAGTCCCAGAAAACAGAGATTCTTAGAGGTTCAAAGGCTTGCTTGAAGTCCACAGAACAGTGAGACAAGGGACTGGCTCCAGCTGGAGTGCCTTTCCTCGGCAGGGAAGCCGCTCTGTAGACTTTTGCAGATACCC